CATATTTACGATTATAAGTGTCGCAAAATTTAAAAAACCTAAATAAAATATACGACGTATATTATGATTTGCTATTACTATTTAAGTATTCGGAGAGCTGTCGTTTTAAATGGATATTTTACCATGCAACGATATGTGGGATAAGCTCTCGGTGATTTGTTTGTCGGTATATTCCTTTTGCTAAAATTCGTTTATTGCCAAAAAGTTGACATATTAGATTTATGAAAATGATGATTTTAACGCTGCTTTTTTAATAAAGCGAGGGCTCTGGTATAAACATATACAGGGTGGTTGGTAACTGGTGGTACAAGCGGAAAGGGGGTGATTCTACGCGAAAAAAGAAGTCGAAAATATAGAATAAAAATTTTTTTTTAGTTTTTCCATCGAGACAACGATCTACAGTGAGATCCGTTATAACGTACCGCACGCGTACCGAGCGAAAATTCAAAGACGATTTTCTCGAAAACAAAGCCTCAAACGAAAAATTTTTATTCTATATTTTCGACTTCTTTTTTCGCGTAGAGTCACCCCCTTTCCGTTTGTACCACCAGTTACCAACCACCCTGTATAGGTCATTGTTGTCAATAGTTATTATAATCTTTCTATGTCTAAATAGTAGTATGTAATATAACAATAAATAATTGTATCAACTTGGCAAAATGATGCAATTTTTTAGACGTGATTTGTTGCTCATACATGTATAATAATATCAAAAAAAAAAAGAAAGGAGGTATACGCTTGGTCTATCATATATTTAAGTCCGGATTTTCTCGGGATAGTATAAGTTGTAAATTTAAGGTATAAACTAAGAATCGTAAGAGTGCTGGGGAAGAGAGAAAGAGACAGAGAGAGTGTAGGTAAGAGTGTATGCTTTGGTGATGTCAAAGCTAAATGAGTAAAGGAGTGGGAGAAGGGTGCGAAGGTTGAGGGTCAGTACTTTTTTGATCTGGGAAGACCGAAGTTGTGAGCCGAGTGTTAGAATAAGACGTACGAAGATATTGTAAGATAAAACTAAACTTCACTTCAAATAGAACATCTTTTTTTGTCCTTACTCTGGACTATTTAGATACTACGTACATAGTAAAATTTCTATTCGTTAGGAAGCAAGCAGAACTATCAGAACAACCTAATCGTAAAAGGCTCTCAGATTAGAAACCTTAATAGAAAATTCCTCCCATACTTCGTAGTATTTACGCAGATCTTTCAGTTATCTCAACAGCTGTATTTTAACGTTGTGTTTGAAAGGTTAAAAAAGGGGAGCAAAAAGAAAAAAAAGAAAAAGAGCAAAAGGAAAAACGAAACGAAAAAAAGAATATTCCGAACGTACGAGCCATCCATAGCAGCAATCCCATAGAAAATCCCGGCTGTCTGGGTTACAGTGCAACTCGTAAAAGTCTGGATGCAACGCGTGGTACAACAAGCCCGTTTTTCGCGGCAATTTCGCGCTGGAATACTCGCGGCAATATTTTTATTGCTTTCCACGTTAACAGCGAACGATGGTAGCCAGCAACAGCCGAAGTATAGAATGCATGCATGACGTCATTGCCAATGATAAAAGGATCATTATTGACGATCGACTGCGAGAGAGCAGAGTCGCAATTTTCCACTGTACGAAGTACGGTTAATTTTTCCTGGTGTCCGGAAATTTGGCACCATTGACGCGACTGTATAACACGTGATTTTTCGCTCTTGACGCGCCTACGCGATGTACAGGGCACTGCGTGGAACATGGTACGTGGCCCGATTTTTGCTGATGAATCCATTCGTCAGAATTAGCGGAGATTTGTCGGCTAATTTAGCTGCGGTGTTCGTATTGAATAAGAAGTGCAGTAGTTAATTTGAATTTGGAAACTTGTCTCTTTCTAAACGGATCTTTCATTTGGCAATAAACACGATGATACGATAGTAACATATGCTGCATCGAGTAGAGGCTACGTTCGCATCGAATGTTTACTGGAAACAAAAAAATGAACAAAGGCACCAAACCTTGGAAAGTAACAGGTTTTTCGAAGAGAAATTTGTCATAACCAAAGGAACAAAATATGAGAATCTAGAAAATTTGTTATACAGGAAACTGTAATATTTTCCAGTCAGGATATCAGCGTCTTGTCAACAATGCTGTCATCGTTTGCGATTATTGTTTTTAGATCACTATTCAGTAGAAGCACGCCAGGACGATGAAATATATATTTCGAAATTACCGTGTATTTCAACTTACTTCTACTCTTGATAAGCCGAATAAAACGAAAGCAACATTCACTCAGCGAAATTTGAATGAGCGGAACGTGGTGCACGCGCGATCTTCATAATTCGATCGCGTAATAATATTTCCAATTAAAGTCACTTTAGCCGTGAAAATTCGTTTCGTTTAAGCCGATGCAACAACAGTGCAGGAACATCGTGAGAATTTCAACGCATACATATATGCGCGTATGCGCGTGAATTTTAATTATTTTGGTTTGGTGGACGCGAGGAAGTGTTTATTCCCGCGTCTCGAAACGAGCTAGCACCAGAGATAATTAAATATGGATTATCTGACGCACGTTCGAGCACTCGCTCGTCGCGCTAATTGGACCAGAAAGAAGACAGTTATCGTACGATGGACAAAACGATATTTCACGATAACGAAGCCATGCAAATAACGTATCAGAAGCGAATTGTTAGCACGGTGATCTCTAATTTTATTGTTAGAACGGTGGCTTCATTGAACGTAAAATAGCTATTATTATAACTTCTGGTATATTAAATAGATATTAATTCCCAAAATTAATTTTTGAATTTGCATTAAGAATTTTCTAGAACTAGCGAGATTAGTAAAAGATAAAATATATCGTCGTACAATGAAAATAAGGAAATAAAAACTTCCTTTATTTCCTTCAAAGTAGTCTCCAAGGGACAACTCTTTGGAGCCAAGGGTTGTAAAATAAAGAAGGACTCTGCGCGTAGAAAAATTTTATTTAATATCACGATCGCTCTATATATATCTTTCCCTGTGCGATTATTAAAAACACCTGTTTGTCGTATCTGCGACGAAATAAAATCGACGTTCTTATGTTCTTTTATTTTTTTTCTTTTTTTGTATATATAATAATACGCTGCAAGTAGATCACGGAATTCTATGCATTTACATGAAGTTTGAAAATGCCAAATTGCACAGAATGCACATAACGCGAAGAAATTTATTACGATATTCAAAGTATAGTACTTTTTGCAATACTCGACGGGTAAAACAATTTTTCACCAAGCTTCTACGTTATTAATTGTGCTGTCAAAAATATGAATTCGCATAAAAAATCGCCACCTACTATCGCGTTCTACCATCGGAAAATTCGCACTCAAGAACTGTCGTGTCTCTCTCCATCGATTTCGCTGTGTAAAGTCTTTTTTTTCTGCTATCCTGGGTTCTGCACCGGCTGTTTCCGCGTTTTCTCGTTAAGTCGTAAGACGCAACAAGTGTTGGACGGATTATGTCTTGAGGCAAACAAACGAGATCACCGTGCCAGGATAATTCTTCGTCCGAGTTAATTAATTAACTCGGGAATTGGTTGGTGCAAGCGGTGCGTTGCGCGGTCTCGCCATCCCATGGGGTTTGCTTTCTCGTATCGGATCGAGTGCGTTGAACGCTCACGAGATTGTTCGTCGGATTAATTGCGGCTTTATTTCGCCGCGAGATCCTTTTTCCGATTCGTCGAATGGCGCGGGTTTAAACTGGTTTTTAGCGAGGTCGCGGATATATAAATCATTTTTAAACATGTTTGCGTTAAATTCGTTTACGACTGTGTTTTTTTTTTATTTAACCTTCTGTGTCTTGTTGGCGAGGGTGAAAAATTTACATGGAAACTCACTACGGGGGAAGAACATTGCAAGTCGTATTTTCTGCTTCTTCCAGGAGAGCGATTTTAAAATTCATTTCACACAAATGCTGTTTTGCTTAAATTTACCTTGCAACGTACTGTTATTTCTGCCGTTTCCTTGTGGCGAATAAACTCATCTCGAAGTTAAATCGCCTGTTTCTTGAAAATCAAACGTCGAGTGTATTGCAGAAAGACTTCCGTATAACGCGCCAAAGATATTACAACTGCTGTTTTCATATAACGCGATTCTTCGTACAACGCGTGAAACACACGTAATAAAACCAGATAATAGATTCATTGGAAAGATCGAGTCTGTGAACTGGTCGAAACTGCGAAACTGATCCAAAAATTGAAAATGAATATTTACTTCCGCCAAAACGAACACGTTGGAATGTGATGTTGGAAGTAAAAGTATTTTTCTATTTAAAAAATCTTAAAAAACACAATACATAAATTCGTATAATTATATCTTTATTAAATTCCAACAAAGTAAAAGATTTTTTACATACATTAATAATATCTTCTTCCTAATCAACTTCGTATAAATGTCGTTTAATTTTTAAAACACAGTCCTACTTGATAAAACATAGAAAATAAAAGTTTGCATGACAGCAATCATCTTAAACGTGTTACCTTAAATTATGCGCGTTATAGTGGAAAAATTCTTATACAACATAATTTCATATAGCGCGTAACGTTACACGGCAGTCTACTGTATATACGTAGACAATGAAATTAAAAAATGTAGAGAAAGTCAGTCAGTTTGGCTTCGCGAAATTTCGTACGTTCATTTACTTTGATATTCTACGAATATGAGATACAAAGGCTGATAAAAGAAAAACGCGTCATTGGATAATAAAGGTGTGATTTTTACAGTCACTGTATTCAAATACTTCCATCCGCATTTCAACGAATGAAAACAATTGCTCTCTTGACTCGTGGCAACCTGATGATTGTCGACAGTTTACACGAATCGCTCAAATGCGACAGTTTCGAGCCGGTTTGTCACGTTGGTCGTCGCGACACGTCCAATAGCGTTCTAACAAGCGTGAAACGAGAACGTTGTTCTTCTTTGAACGTATTTCTGTGTATGCAAGTGTGCGAAGACCGTCGCATTCAACGGCTGGCGTTTCTTTTGTTTTCCAGGCAGACCTGTCCTGCCAGAACACGAAGCAGTCCGTGGGCGCGATTTATACGCGCACGAACTTCGTGACACTGAAATACGTCACCGACTCGTGGGGCACCATCTCGAACGGCTTCCGTCTCGTTATCACCGCCGTCAAGGATCCAAGTGAGTACATTTCTCCATGTGATAATTCCTTCGTTCTTTTGTGTCTCGGGCGCCTGTCTTGCCTCCGCGTTATCTGATACGCGCGCAAAAGTTTTCTTCGCTCGCAGTTTTCGTCGTTCCACGCGTTATCGTGGAAATGGTAGACGCGCGACGACGCGTTAGTTGCGTTTTAAACGTCACGGAATTGTTTTATTTAGCAGAGCCAAGTAATGAAAATCACGTCGCTGCTCGACAATGATTGAGTGTCACGACTCGACAAATTTCAAATTTGCTTTTACTAATTTAGACGTCCACGTTATTTTTCTATTTCAGTAATTTCAGTCGTCGTGCCTTAAATCAGTTTTGCGTGAGAAGGCAGAGTTGTTACTTTTTCCCCTGTCAACCAATGTTTTATAACAACAGCGGCTTATCTTCGGTTGTTTCGCGGAAGTTCGTAGCGCTTTCGCAAGTAGTGTGTCTCGTACTAGGTCAGCCGTACAATGTCGTTGAAATGACTGGCGAAGATTTCTTTGTAAAATTTGGGAAGCCTCTTCCCTAAAATGTAGATTTTTCAAGTTGTGCCATTGTCGTTGGCAAACAGCGACGTGTAAAAATTGCACGGACGCAGCATTATCGAGGAAACGTAAATTCGTTTTTCCAAAGTACAAGAAATGTATTGGGATAATAAATTCGAGGCATAAGAAGAAGTTCTAGAAGGGAAAGTAGTTTATTAAAGTAGTATGAGATATTTCTGTCTTTTGAATTTCGTAAAACTGTAGGTTTCACATCGTGGAAGAAATAAAAACGAAAAAGATATGAACTAAATTCTTGAAATTCTTGTTCACGATTGCAGTGTGAATTTAATGGAATTTAGCGATGTAAATGGACCAGGAAGAATCAGAAATAAAATGTTGCGTTAATGGACGTTTCCTTCCGTCATTTATAAATAATGGTTTACGTCATTTCACGCATGGAGTTATCGCTATAAAATTATCTGTTGAATAAAAATATCAGTTTGAAGCTATGGTGCCCGTTTTGACTATTCAAGTTTTACCGGTTTATTCCACGCTAAATTCGTATTAAAATCCTATAGGAAGAGAGATGAAATGAGAAATTATGGAACAAACCCTTCATGACGAGTTCTGCTCATTAAAAATTCCTGAGCTCCTTATTAAAGTCTATTTATCTGTAGTTACAAGTATTACGTCTCAATTTTTGTCATTTACAGCGAACAAAAGAAATTACGCAGAGAAGAAATAATAATGTCTTGCGAATTCAAGCCGAACCGAGGGAAAGATGTCTGATTAAAGAACGAAATGAACCACGAAGCTTTCGTTTCGAATGACTTTCTGAAAGGAAATTAAACGACCGTTTCTCTCTTTCTTCGCTCCGTGACAGCTTTTTTCGAGTGTGTTCTACTTCAGTTGGTTCGACTTAATGAAGTGCTTAATGCACCGTGATTAAGCGAAAGAGCGAAGTACGAATGAAGAAAGGAGAAACACGTTATAAAATACTCTCCATTCCTTCGATAATAACGGGATATTGTCGACTTCGTTTGTCGTGCCGTTTGCTAAAGAGACGTTCTTGAAAATCGTAATCTATATAATGGCTTTTATTAGTAACGATATGGCGATAATTTTCACGTTTGACTATTAAACTGAATGGAAAATGTAAGAAATGTGGGAACTAGTAAGCAAGATATAAAATGCCCTGCACTATTTCTCAAAGTCGAAGAATACTCTTCACGTTACAGTCTCCGAGACGTTTCTTTAAATTTAATATCGTTACACTACCTGTATCGATTTATCCGCAATATCTACTCTTGGTCGTAAAATTCGATTAAAAAGACAGTATTTCGTGTATGAGTTGCATTGTGCGCTGCATTATTATTATTAATCTGGTTCCGTTTCATGATAGTGCAGTGGCTCGTCATGGGGCGACTGTAGCTGCTTTTCTCGAAAACAAACGAATTAAAGTGTCGCACCAGCCACTCCGTTCGCCAGATTTAGCACCGCGCAATTACTCTCCGTCTCCGCGGCTTCAAGTAACAACGAAGGGCAAACGTTATGACAGCATTTAAGACATCAAGAAGATCGTGACGAGTATTCTCAAAGTAAATGCACAAAAAGACACGCAAGAATTATTTGGCGCGTTAGATAACAGCGTAGATGGTTGTATCGCCTCAGGAAGAGAGCGTTTTGAACAAAATAAAATATTTCCCTCAAAACGATAGCTCTGTTATTTTTAGAAATTTCTACTATCTTCGAGATAGACCCGTTAGAGTCTTCCGGCGATAAAACAGATCTTTGTCTCACCTGGTTTTCCTTATACATTTCCCATAGACGTATCGCTGGAACAAAAGAGCCAATTACACAAGCAGAGACAAACTTCGGTGAATAAATAAACCGGCGCACAATTATAATTCAACGGGATGAGAATAAATGAAACAGTAAATTAACGACGCTTCCTATTAACGGTCCTCAAATTACCGGCCACTCGTTATTTCGTGCCGTGGTCTCAATGCTGCTCTCGGTAATTTTAAATTAACAGCAACGCCATGGCGAAAGATAATACCGTCATCCGGCTGTGTAAAACTTCCCCTTTTCTCTCTCTGGCCACCGTGGAAACGCTAAGATCTCCTGAAAATGCCGCGGAAATTCTGATGCTCTGTAGCACTGCGATAAATTAAGGTCGCAAAGCTGGCTATCCGCGAATTTTCCTCTATATACGCGCTTGAAAAGTGCCAGCCGAAATGATAGAGAAAAGAAAACTGCTTGCTACGCTGCGTCTGGCCAACGTGTGTTCTCTTCTACGGATTAGCTGCTGTGCGTGCTTCCTCTACTAATCTTCGTGTTCTTGCTCATTTTCGCCGACTGTCGACTTTATAAAGTAATATCAAGTCACACTCGTGACATGGATTAAGGATCAAGTGCTTGAAACGAGTGCAGCTTGTACTTGCATTCGAAATTAAGGTTAACATCGAACTTTCATTCCAAACTCTAGTCATTCCACACCACCCCTTTATTTTCTTAACTTTAACAGAGTTAACCGTATCTCGTAGACAGATTATTGCAGATATTCAAATAGAAATATTTAAAATCGTTGGACACGTGGACGAATGGTGTATATAATTCTATTATACTTACTGTTGCCAGATCTCTAAATAAATAATATAAACGTGCAATCTATTGATTTTATAATATCGTTTTCATATTGCTTAATATTGTTTTCAATTTATAATTCGTTATTAATCTATACGCATTGTGTACTGTAATTGCAAATGGAGCAAGTGCCTGGATATTTGCTAGGAATGACATTAAAGCTATCAATTTCGTAATGAGCATACAAGCGTATCAAAAATTCCATTCATTTTCATTTTTTTTTTTTCTTTTCGTTCCTTTTGTTTAATACCGAAAAATATCCTGTAACGTTCTCTCGATTCGATAATTTTAATAGCAATTATATAATTCAACATAGCATTATGTTATATGCAGTTGACAAGCAGCTATAACATGGATTAGTATAACTTATGCAATAAATTGCGTATTTAGTGAAATTAATGGGAACACGCGACATTTAGATGACAGAATATTCAGCGCAAATATTGCACATTATATCGAATAATATTCTGAAAACAGATAATTATTATTTACATATCGCGAGAAATTTCGACGTCCGCTAGCTGTACGTTAAACTATTAATAAATAAGTATAATTGCATAGATAAATGACTAAGATAAACGAAGTTATTAGTCAGAATATTCGAGTTATGGTATTTTAGAAACTTGCCAGTTTTTTCTTTTTTAATTATTAAACGCGTAAAATAAAATTTCTTAAACATTGAACAAATTCTCGAAATCTTCGTAAAATTAAACAAAACTTGGTCAAGACCATCTGCATCGTGGAACGAAATTTTTGAAAATACGGTGCATAGGTGGGATACTATTTATTATGCGTAACGCCTCGAAAAATACTGAATTTATACAAGGTATAGCAATATATTACGAATTCAGGATACGCGTTTTAACACATACTCTTTAAAATTCACATGTTGCTTGAATAATTCATTATATGACACTGTGAAAACTCAACGATCGTTATTTAGTTGAAATCATTCATCGATATAGACCGTGTCAAAGAATAAACGTTTCAGCGAGCGAAACAAATGTTTTAACAGGTGAAGCCAACAGAGGTGGAATTTAAATACCTCATTAACAACAAGAGTTACTCCCAAGTTTACTATACGAAGCGAACATCTATCGTTTGCCAGAACTTGAATATTTCGATTTGACGCGTTATTATTTTTACAATCGGATGCAGCATCGAGAACTTGCATTTCCAATATTCTCGCATTTCCTGTCCAATAATAATTAACGTAGCATAATTTTATACTCCTGGCTGTGAACTAAATGTAGACAACTGAATTAATGAATACTTTAGAACGTGTAGACAACTGAATGAACGAATACCCTGATTGTTATACTACTAATTAAGACTCACGGTATACATAAATAGATAATGCTTCGTCGAAAAGACAATAACAGGTCAGTATGAAGTATTTAAAAGCCCCATATAGCTATCAAAACGATGTTCACGAATGTAGACAAGCGGCAGGCCCATTGTCCGATTCGCGTTTGGCATAACGCGATGCTCTGTACGATGTGCAATTCGAGAAATTCCAAACTGTCCGGAATCACGAAAGCTTCCTGCTCAGACATGACGGGCTGTGTTGCAGCGCGAGCAAGGAATTGTTGCTGATAATATTAGCGCGATTCAACGCGTCGCGTTTTGCGGTTTGTACCGTGTCGGAATCACACGATATTCACGTGATTAATGTTGTTACTATTATTGCAACTCGTTATAAGTTTTTCCACTATTCTCTTAAACGGAAATATACAGCTCTTTCTGTACAGGTAGGCGATCTTATCGTATAAAAAACAAAGAGGAACGTGACATGGTATTTTTGTGTTTATATTTTATTCTTTTCTTCCGTCTTTCGACTGATTTTTCGGTGATATGAAA